CTGGCTCCACAGGGCCTCGTCCTCACCCCCAGAGAAGCAGGGCAGCCGCGGGCCAATCAGATGAGGAGCCGAGTGCCGCCACCTCCTGGAGGCTCCCTGACCCTACGCCCCTTCCCCTGAGTGACCTCGGCTCTGGGTCAGGCCTGAAAGGATGGACGGAGGGGCAGGACACGATTGGGGTCCCTCCCCGACACGTGTGCCCGGTGCAGGCTGGGCCTGAGGGGTCCTGGGAAATGGTTGAGTGGGTGTCGGGCCTGGTGGGGACGGGCCCCCAGAGTGTCCAGCCTGGGCCGGAGCTCCAATGGCGTCCGGCCTCTGTCTCTAAAATGGGCAGAACACCGGATGACACTTCTCCAAGAAATACATACAGAGGGTCAATAGAATATAAAAAGTTGCTCAACATCACTAGTCATCAGAGAAATGAAAATCAAAACCACAATGAAATAGCACCTCACACCTGTCAGAATGGCCAGCACCCCGCTTCCCGCCTGTGCGGGGGTCTGGGCTCCCCTGGGCTCTGGGGGCCTAGGAGACTGGGCCTAACCCCAGGTTACTGGGGTCATATCGGAGCCTGTGAACTCCCCCAAGCCCCGTGTGTGTGTGTGTGTGGGGGGGGGGAAGCTGGGCCTTAATGGGCAGCAGGGGGAGCCCAGACCCCTGAACCCAGTCCTTTGCTCACTCGGGTAAACTGAGGCAGGAACTCTCACCTGGTCTCCCTCAGCCTGTCCCCCTGGCTTCCACGGGCGTGGCTGCCAGGGGGTGTGCAGGTGCCAGCATGGAGCGCCCTGCCACCCCGTCAGCGGCCAGTGTCTGTGTCCCGCTGGCTTCCACGGCCAGTCCTGCGAGAAGGGTGAGAGCCCCCCCTACTGCACCCCTGCCCTGCCCAGTTGGGTGTGGGACGGGAGGAGAGCTGAGTCACTGCCCCGCCCCCGCCAGGGTGTGAGCTGGGCTCATTCGGAGAGGCCTGCGGTCAGCTGTGCGACTGTGAGGGTGGGGCCACCTGCGACCCTGTCACCGGCCACTGCCTTTGCCCCCCAGGCCGCACGGGGGCCACCTGTGACCTCGGTGAGTCTGCAGTCCCATCGGTGGGGCACAGGTGTGGGTTCCTGGACCAGGACCTTGGTCCAGCCCTGCCTGTGTCGTGCCGGTCTGGGCTCGGGGGGGCACCCTCTGCTCCCAGCTCCCGCAGGGCCCGCTGTCAGGGCCACACCCTGTCCTCAGGCCACCTACAGGCTTCGGGGTGACCTCTGCCCGGGGAGGTGGGAGGAGACCCTGGCCTGCCCCCACGGCCGGGATAGGAAGGGCGCCCTGTTTGTGGTCTTGACGTGGGTGTATCGTGACCGCCAGGCCCCCCCTGCCAGCCCTGGACAGGGAAGGACCTGGCGCTGTGGGTCCGGACACGTGCTGGTACCCGGCGCTTTCCCACGGGAGAGCCCACGGGGCCAGGAAACAGCAGAGGGTTTGCCCCCAGGACCCCACCCAGAGGGGGGCCGGGCCGGGCGGCAGGTGGCTCCCGGCTCAGCGCTCCGCCTCCCCCTGCAGACTGCAGAGCCGGCTTCTTCGGGCCGGGCTGTGCCCTGCGCTGTGACTGCGGGGGTGGGGCCGGCTGCGACCCTGTCAGCGGCCGGTGTCACTGCGTGGACGGCTACACCGGGCCCACATGCCGCCAGGGTGAGTCCGGCGACCCTGTGCCCCAGCCCCACCCTGGCCCAGGCCCGCCCCTCCCCATGCAGTGCTGACGGGTCCTGGTGGTCTGGGGTTCCCATGGCTTCCGATGGACAAAATGTAACCTTGCAGCCCTGGACCTAGGAGCAGGGCTTGGCATGCTGGCAGCCCTAAGAAGCCCCAGATGTGGGCAAGGGCGGGTTCCTACCACATGGTGCCAGGCCTGGGGTATGGTGCCAACCTTGCCAGTCTGGTGCTCAGGAGATAATGTTGGCTGTGGCGGCACCTGGTGGTCAGACGTGGTACTGCACCAGAGGGCCAGACAGCCTTGGGCAGCCTTGACATTTGAGGGGGACGGTGGGGGGTGCTGCCTGCCTGAGGCCCCTTGGGAAGATGGACTGGCAGGGCCTCGCGGCCCCCTGCTTTGGATGGGACCTGGCTAGTTCTGGGGTGAAATTTCCCTCCCCGCATCCAGCCTGAAGTCCCGTCGCCCAGCCCTCCATGCTGCCTGGACAGGGCCGGGTTGGGAACACTCATTGGGGGTGGGGAGGGGGAGAGGCCCCACTGTTTGCCTAGCGGGGGCTCTGCAGGCCTGGGTTTCCCTCACCAGTGCCCACCCAGGGGTGGGGCACTAACATGAGGGGGTCTGTCTGCCTTCAGGTGGGCCCCCCCAGCTCCCTGGGATCCCCTCTCCAGCCCCGGGCCCAGGTAAGGGGCTGGTGGCGTTTGCTGCGTCGCTGGTGCCTCAGCAGACGGAGACAGAGGAGGGAGGGTGTGGGCAGGGGTGGGACTGAACCTCAGAGGACAGCCTGGTGGCGGCGGGGAGGAGAGGCTGAGCGGGCGAGCAGGGGGAGCGCACGTCCCCACCTGGCACTGACCCCCTTGCTCCTGTTCCTGCAGCGTCCTCACAGGCCGCCCCGCACAGACCAGCGCCCGGGCTCCGCCGCAGGGCAGAGGAGCGCTAGCGCAGCCGCGTGCCGCGTCCCGGTGCCGCCGACAGCACCCAGGGCCTGGAGAGCTCTCGGAGGGAGCTGTGGGCCAGGACTGCGCCCGAACCCTTCTTGCTTCCGCGGGCTGTGGACATGGCAGCCTCTGCAGG